GGGGGGGGGGGGGGGGGCTTAAATAAAGAAAGCCCGATTATTTCCCCCCTCTTTCGGGGGACAGGGGAAGAATTTAACTTTTTTTTTTTTTAAGTTATGTGGAAGATCCGTTTTAGGATAAGATACATGCCAAGAAGGTTTCAAGTATTTCCCAGATAATGCAGAGTATGAGACTCGGGAAGCAACACCGCCCAACCCCCCCCCCCCCCCGGTCCCTCCTTGGCTGTGGCTAACAGAGAGCCCAAATCCCCGGCAACTTTCCGTGAACTTGAAAGACGCATCAAAAACCACCGGTGTTACTGCGGTGTCAATTTTGATGCTAATAATGTGCAGATTATGACGAAAATTGCCAATCATGTTCTCTGATGGACCCTCCTTTGAATGTAGAGTGGTGGGGGGAGTTTCCCGCACGGAGACCTGCTGTCAAGTACTAACAACCCGCTAAGGGAAGTCATTAGAAGAGACGGATAAGAGACTTGGTACATAAAACATTGTTCTTGGTGCAAAGGCGGTAGGTTATTTAATGTTAGATCTGTTACCTTGGAAGTGATTTTGCACAAGAAAGCTACGGTTCTGATCATCTCAATTGCCAATTTTCATTTTGGGAACTTGGACGCCCTGGGTAGACTTTTCAGTTGATATTCCACCAATGTGAAAGAGCCTTGTTAAATCAAACTTGGATATTTCCATAATGCTCCTGGCAGAGTCACTTCACTCTTCACATAATGAGATTTTTCTGAAGAGTTGAAGCTCTCACATAACTAGCTATTGCTTATTTAGGCCCCATGTGTAAGACGTGAGCACAGGCGCGCAGCCCATTCATTTCCCCTAATTTATATATATTTCAAATAAGTGTCCTGAAATTTGCCGGTTTCTAAGACACTGGACTTGTTGGGGTGTTTTTTCTTTTCCCAGCCCCACATTTTGATAATGGACATTCAGGAAATTATTTTCCAGTCTGTACTGTTTTGTTCAGTGAACAAAAACTGTATGTATTTTATTTTTATTATTTTTATTAGTGGGGGGGGGAAATCAAAGTATAGCAAGAGATTGCTGGAATGAAAATAGGAGAGGAAGGATTAAAAACAACATAGGTGGCAAGAAAAGAAGAGTGGATTATGTTGACAAGAACATAAGATATATAGAGAATGTTAAATTAAGGACCTAATCCTCAAATAAAGAAATATTTTTTTTAATAAAATAAGGACAAGACTACTTATGCATCAAAAGAAAAATGCCAGCTGTTGTCCACTGACTT